TGGGCGACTCATTTCCACGCGCGCTGGCATTTAGCGAGGCGGGTGAAGACGAAGATGGGACAGAAGTTGGCAACGGGTAAGTGAAGATTGTGCCAATGTTTGGCTACTGTAAAGCTAATGGAGCGGTTAACCCGTGGCAATGTTTATCTAATGTTTCTTGTTGCTCTGCTCGCAAATTGCAAGGCGAAGGTGGAGTCGTTTCGCGAGTTCGTGCGCCAGATGCGCTCTCTGCATGATTACCCGCTCGACCTCATCGTGAACGCGGACCAGACGCCGCTTTTCCTGGAGATGCCGACGGAGCGCACGCTCGAGATGAAGGGAGCGCGCACGGTTCACGTTCGAAGTGTAGGCTATGAGAAGAAGCGTGTTAGTGTCATGCTTGCAGTACCATCGAGCAGACTCAAACTTCTGCCGTACGTGGTTTTCAAGCGCAAGACCGTCCCAAAGGTGGCCATCCCTGCCGGTAAGCAACACACGTTTACGATGTTGTATGTCGTCTTGCCTGTCAATTGTCGCAACCGAACCTGACGCTCTTGTGTTTTTTGGCAGGTGTGGTGGCCCGTGCATAGGAGAAAGGCTAGATGGACGAAGCCCTGGTGCAGGACTGGATCACCCAGATGATGGTGCCGTTTCTGAAGCTCCTGCGTGAAAGAACAAGACGCCGCAGGGAGGGCTTGGTTGTGCTCGACTCCTACCACGGCCATTTGACCGAGGCAGTCGGGCAGACCATGCGGATGTTTCGGCTGTCCCGAGCTGTCATCCCAGGGGGCTGCAAATCGCTGGTGCAGCCTCTGGATGTGTCGGTGAACCGCGCGTTCAAGTGCGGTGTGCATCATCGCTACAGTGTGTGGTTTGAAGAGAAGGGAATCAACACCACCACCAAGGCTGGTGAGTGAAGCCCTAACATCCGCTTGCCTGACGATGAATCCGTGTCAGCATGCACTCTGTATGCTCACCGTGTCTACCCTTCCACGTCCCCCAGGCAATCTCAAGAAGTCCCCATGCCGGCCGAGGAGCTCCAGGGGGCGGCACAGGAGGATGACGCCGCCGAGGAGGACGTGGAGGCGGTGGCGGCAGATTAGGAAGGGGTCGTGCTTGAAGAAGGCGGGGAGGCAGAAGAGCCCAGCGATGACGAGTGGTGGCACCCTGGCAGCTATGACGGGGAAGAGTGTGAAGAGTGGCATGCAGGGGACGATTATGAGTAAAAAACACTAAGTAGAGCTCTTTGAAGTTGAAATTGTGGATGCCTAGTGTGTGGTGATGTTGTGACTATGGAGATGCAATCTAGGTGACATTGTTAATGTCTAGGTGCCGGCGCAGTACTTCTGTAGATCCTGTAATGTCACCTGTATGAAATGTAAGCAAAGTTATAGTGAGATTGAGGTCGGCCATAGCTCCCACCCCGCACAAGCTACCCGGTGGTGTTCTATCATGGGGCGGTGTTTTGTCTGGGAGAATAAAGTAATGAGTATGTTGTGTAGGATGTATTGGGGTAGCCCATAAGAGGTACAACCCAATTAGGGTGAGTACTTGTACTCAGTTTTGTTCTCAAAGCATTTATTCTCGTTCAATATTCTAATATGGTTCAAGGACCCTTTATTTTTTAGGGCCCACCGAATCGTTCCCTGCCCGTAGCGCGTTACCCGACTCGTAGCGCCCTACCCTGCCTATCGCACTGCCCCACCCGTCACGCTGCCCTGCCCTACTTGCGCGTTGCCCTGCTGGCTGCCGCGCCGCCCTGCCCTGCCCACACGCCGCCCTGCTAACTGTCGCGCCGCCCTGCCCTGCCAGTTGCGCCGCCTTGCTGGCCGCGTGCTGCTCTGCCCTGCCCGTCGTGTCGCCCTGCTGGCCGCGTGCCGCCCTCCCCTAATTGTCGCGTCGTCCCCGTGCCCGCGTTCCGCCCTGCTGGCCGCACGCTACCCTGCCTTGCCCGTCGCGTCGCCCTGCTGGCCGCGTGCCGCCCTCCCTTGCCTGTCGTGTTGCCCTAGGGCCCGCGCGCCTGCCCGGACTGTCGCGTCGCCCCCGTTCCCGCGCGCCGCCCTGCTCTGGCCGCGCGCCGCCCTGCTCGGGCCGTGCGCCGCCCTGCTCTGGCCGCGCGCCGCCCTTCCCTGCCCGTGCGCCGCCTCGCCTACCTTGCGCGCTACTCTAGTGCCCGCATGCCGCCCTGCCCGTCGCGCCATCCTGCTGCCTGCGCGCTGCTCTGCCTTGCCTGCGTTCTGCCCTGCTGGTCGCGTGCCACCCTGCTCTGCCCGCTATGGCTTCTCTTAGTATTGTCACCTTCGATTCTGAGGGCCGTCCGATCCAGTTTGAGACCTGGCTAGTCGACTTACACCCTTACCTAAAGAGCGAGTATAGGGACGGCGTCTCCCTAATTGACCACATGTCTGGGACCTCTCTCGATCCTTGCGAGACAGCTGACAGTGCGACTCGCCCACAGTAGCTTACTCGTGACGCTACTGCTCGCCTCGCCGTTCGCAACCACCTGCCGTCAGCCGAACGCTCGCACTTTGGCCAGCAAAAGACTGCTAAAGCACCATTTGACGCTGTAGTTGCTCGTTACTCCTCCCCTGCCACTGCTGCTCTTGGCCAACTTATACTGCCCTACCTTTTTCTTGAGCTGTCAGCCTTTCCCATAGTCGCCGACCTCATCACTCACCTTCGCACTAGCGATACTCGCTACCGAATCGAGTTTCTAGACAAGAACCCCCCCTCCTCCCTTCCCCCCCCAATCTACATCACTCTCTACTCCCTCGTCACCTGCCTTTCTGACTCTCTTCACACAGTCAGTGACCTCCTTCTTGCCCTTGACCCCACAGACCTCACTGTCGACCTGCTCGAGAAGCACCTATTTGCAGCTGAGACTAGCATAGTCGCTGTAGGTGCTTCTCGTGGCACTCCTCGCACTCCCTTCTTTGAGGGGTGTTCCCCCTCCCCCCTTGCCCCCTCTGTCGCTTCTGCTGCTGCTGTTGACTTCCTTCGTGCTGAGGAGGTCGGGGTTGTGCCTGCTCCTAGCGGGGGGCACCGCAGCGGCAAGGGCAAGGGAGGCAAGAGTGGTGGGGGTGGCAGCGGTGGAGGTGGTGGTGGAGGCGTTGGAGGCAGTGGAGGTGGCGGTGGTGGCGGTGGCGGCGGTGGTGGTAGCGGTGGGAGTGGTGGCGGCGGTGGTGGCGGCAGTGGGAGTGGTGTCGGCAGCTGTGGTGGTGGTCGGGGTGGAGCCGTTCAGAGGGGAGGTTCTGGCGGTGGCCAGAGGCAGCAGCAGCAGCGTCCCGCGAGACCCTTACGCCCGAGTAGCTTCGTGAGTGGTTTGCTTGGCGTGGGGCGTCTGGGGGTAGTGTTCGCTGCCCGTATGTCATTCGCACAGGTGAGCACGCTGGTCAGACATGTGGGAAGGTTGGTGACTCCCAGTACCGCTGCTTCTCCCGTCTTGACGACGCCTGGCGCGCAGAGTTTGGCGACGAGGCTGAGCTCCCCCGCTGGCTAGAGCTGCTTAGGAATGATATGGATTTATTGCTATTGACTATGATGCTATCCTTGCTGGCATGTATGCTTTGACTGTTAGTGCTGAGGGTGACTGTTACCTGTGTGTGCCACCCGACCCTAGTATAGAGGCTGCTGCTCTAGGTGCTAGTGAGTCTGCTCTCTCTGGTACTGCGCCTGCTGAGGCCTTGCACACCTTCACGCTTGACTCAGGTGCTTCCCGCTGCTTCTTTCGCGACAGTACCACAGTCACACCACTCCCTGCACCTGTTGCAGTCTCTCTGGCTGACCCCTCAGGGGGCCCGGTTCTTGCACGTTCCTCCACTGTTCTCCCGTGTCCAGCGTGTCCGTCTGGCTCACTGTCAGGTCTTCACCTCCCCTCGTTCTCTACGAACTGGGTGAGTACTGCTGCCCTCCAGGATGAGATGGTCACTACCAACACTTCTGGGTGTCAGTCTGTGGCGATCTGCACGTGTACACGAATGGGCCGTCACCTGGCCACGTTCACCGTCTGCCTGGGTCGAGTCTGTACACACTTACTACTAAGCCTAATCAGGTGGCTGCGTCTGGTCAGGTGTCCGCGTCATATCAGGTAACAACCCCCCTGTTCGTGTCGCCTCCTCACGCACCAGACTCTCCTTTGGCACCACCGCCTTGAAAACCTGCCTCAACTCTGCAAGTTTCAGAAAATTTCTAAGTCTAGCACTGAAATTTTAGAGTTTTCCAGGAGTGTACTCTAATTATTCAGAGTACAAACGCGTACCGACTCTGATTCAATGTACCTTGGCGCCAGCTTGGGTCCTTGCTAGGATTTTGTGGAAGACTATTTGACCAATCATGAAAGAAGATTGTTTCCGTTTCCATTTTCTGCTTGCGTTCTTGATTGGTGATTCGAACTTCACGGGTCACGGCAGATTCGAAGTGACATCGCAAAATCGCCTCGAAACACCAAATCCGCACTTTACAGCACAAAAGTTTCGCCCAATCACAGCAAAATCGCCTTGACACAACAAATTTGCGCCGTCAGAGAGCACAACATTTTCGCCCAATAACTAAAAAATTTCACCTGACATTGTAGATTTGCCCTTTCACACCACAAGATTCGCCCTGACACGAAAATGTGCCTTGTCAGAGCATGTTCCCCCGGAAATCCCCTTAGTCTAGCATGTTTCGGTATCAGATGAAACATTGAATACATTTCTGATGAAACATTGAATATGTTGATTCTGAATGTTCAGAAATTGTATTTTTATACACTCTGAAATTTCAGCTATTTATTTATTCCAACTATGAGGGTTTTAGACTAAAACGGTGTACTAGTCTGATGAATCAGACAGGCCAAAAACGACTCTGAAGGCCTGGTCCTTCCCTTAAGTGCCCTCTTCAACCAGGTGAACTTAATTGTTAAACCAACACGTATCGCTTCACTGCCTTGTCACTAAAACTAGTCATTACAAGGTCAGGGTGGGTAATCTACTATCACATACTCCTTACTGGCCCAAACATCTCTGCCACTCCCCTATTTCTCACTCTTCGTCCACATCCTCCTCCAGCCCACCCTCCTCCTCCTCCTCGTCCTCCTTATCCTCCACCACCTCTCCCTCCTCTACTTGCTCCTCCTCCTCCCCCTCCTCCACCTCCTCCTCCTCCTCCTCCTCCTCCTCCTCCTCCTCCTCCTCCTCCTCCTCCTCCTCCTCCTCCTCCTCCTTAGGAAGGTCCCCAAAATCCTCAGCATCCGCCACCTTTGCCGCCTCTTCATCATCTGTGGTGCTTGCATACAAAGGCTTGACCCACTCCTCCACCTCAGGGGCGACATGCACATCTTGTGCCACCTCAACCTCGCCCGCATCGCGCATGTGGGCCAAGACGAGGTGATCCTGCTCCCCATCGACAGAGTTGCTGGTTCCGGTGGTGAGAATAGCATTCTTAATGATGTGCTCGAGGACGGCCGCCCAAATGGCTGCAATCCACTTGAGCACCATTTCTACAGGGGGCTTCTTCAAGTTGCGTGTGACGCATGTCAAAATAGGAGCTAGAATCATGAGCCATAGCTAGGTAAACCCTAGCTAGGCAAGAGAGAAATGAGCAAAGGAGGGTTTGCACTAGCAAGAATGGGGATACAAATAGCAAACCCTAGAAGGGTTGTACTCGCTATAGAGCACCCCACTACAGGCTAGAACATAATATTCTGACACACCCCATAGCCAAAGTGGGGTGTAATCAGCAGAGCAAGCAAAGCAGTACAAGCTCAGGGTGGATCACAATGTCACCACACATTCTGAGCACAAGTTCAAGAAGCAATAGTTTAAAGTTCACAATTATGAGCAAAGCTAGAGGTAGTCACAGAGGGCAAGTGAGGAGGAGGAGGGCTGGCGAGGGGAGAGAGGAGTGGAGGCGACGACTGAAGCTGCAGACACACGGGCAACAGACGGCTCTGGTGCAGCTCTAGTGGCTACCGGGAGCAAGGGCCCCGGAATACAGGAGTAACAGGCTCTGCGTCTGATCAGCAGCGACAGGAGCAACGGACCCACGGGCGACAGGTGCAACCGGCTCTCTGAGCTACCGGTGGCTATCAGAACCCCGGAATACAGGCGCTGCAGACGACACGACGGCTGCCTCCACCCAACCTCCTCCAACTGTCCCACACCCCCCAACACACACCCCCTGCTGCAACCCCTAACTCCACTCCCACGTCACCCCCCTAGCACCACTCCTTCGGCTCCCCACACACCCACCCCCCTCAGCAGCAGCTGCAGCAGTGGGAGACGGAGGAGGAGGAGGAGCAGGGGACGGCTCACACTCACGGCACCCCCATACCCTCCACCCCCAAACCCTAACACAGGAACGCGGGCAGTAGCGGGGGTGGGGCGCCGGCAGAAGCTCGGGGGACGGACGAGGCGCGCGCACGGGCCTGCCGCAGGCCGGACGAGGCGCGCGCGGGCTGCCCGGGCCGCGCGCGGGCCTGGCGCAGCCCGTACGGGCCGCGCGCGGGCCTGGCGCAGGCCGTACGGGCCGCGCGCGGGCTGTACGGGCCGCGCGCGGGCCTGGCGCAGCCCGTACGGGCCGCGCGCGGGTCCCAGGGGCGCTTCGACGGGCGACGGGGGCGTTTCGACGGGCGACGGGGGGCGCTCCGACGGGCGACGGGGGCGCTTCGACGGGCGACGGGGGGGAGCGCTTCGACGGGCGACGGGGGGCGCTTCGACGGTGGGAAACCGCCGCGCGCCTCGGGGCGCACGGCGGGCAGAAAACCGCCGCGCGCCCCGAGCGCGCGGCGGGAAGAAAAAAAAACGAACATCGCGCGCCACGGGACGCGCGACACACAGGAAGGCAGCGGAAGCAGGCGGGCCCACAGGCCAGGAGCGTAACCGCTCTGATAGCATGTCAAAATAGGAGCTAGAATCATGAGCCATAGCTAGGTAAACCCTAGCTAGGCAAGAGAGAAATGAGCAAAGGAGGGTTTGCACTAGCAAGAATGGGGATACAAATAGCAAACCCTAGAAGGGTTGTACTCGCTATAGAGCACCCCACTACAGGCTAGAACATAATATTCTGACAACGCACACGGGAAATATAATGTAGAAGGGGCAGACGGGAAGTTATCTACGTACGGGAAAGAACAAGCAAACGGGGAGCGATGCGGTTTTCATTTTGTTACAATCGATGAGTCGATGTCCCGGCTTGCTGCAAAAAGAACACTTAGCTTTGTTCTTCTTTGGTCTTGCCTTCGCGTCGATTCGATCGAGTTCCATCGGGTCGGCGTACGTGGGGGTAGCCAAGCGTCCTCCATGTCGTCTAGCTCGTCCATGAAGTCGTCGTGTTCCGATCGTGATTACGTCAAAATGCTCTGCTGCGGAGACAACGTCATTTTAGCTGCTCCAATTTGCGGCCACAACGTGTTGTCGTGTTTCGTTTTTCAGCCCCGCGATGAATTCTCTATTTTTTTCTCCTTCCATGACGTCAGGGATGCGGTTAAAAAACTCCTCCATTTGTTGCGTGTAGTTCGCGACGCTCCCGATTTGTCGATAACGATGCATTTTTTCGCGGGCGATAAACGCTGCATTTATCGGCTCGAAACGTTGTAGTAATCCTTCTCGGAACTGTTGCCACGTCTCTTTGCCTTGTTTTAATAAACCGCTTCCGCTTATCCATTCAATTGCCGGTCCGCGCAGTAGTGTTGCTGCGAAATTAATTCTGTTTCTGTCAAGCGAAGTTTCGATCGCCACTAGCCAGCGCCGAGCGCCATTTTCCCCATCAAAGGTGATGGGGGCTCGATTTTTTTGGACCTTGGGAAAATTTCGCGACTGCTGCGAAGTCACGATCAAATCTGTTTCGGTCGCAATTTTCGCCGTGACGCGCGATTTCACCTAAGTCGTTAGATCTGTCGCGCGTTGGTCTTGCTACTTCAACACCGCTCGATATAGGTCCCGACTATTCGCGATAGTCATCGCTATATCGCCAACTCGTCGCTAGGAAACTGAACTTTCGGTCCAGTTAAAAAAACGCGCGAGGGGGGTCATTTAAAAAACGCGGATTTTGGTGCTTACCATCGTCGGCGCCGAATTCTTCGCTCCCGGTGGTTTTTTGAAGCAGGGAAGTTGTTGTCGCGCTGCTTAGCTGAAACTCCGCGAGTGAAAACGGCTCTGAATACCAAGTGTCACAGGATCGAATTTCCACTCGAGAATGTTGCACTAAAGGTGAGTACAAGGCGTATTTATACTCAGAAATACATAGAAACAAGCGATAATCCGAACCTTCAGGAATGCACTCTTCTAGGATAGATAATCACTAGTGCGCATAAGCACGCAAGCCCATTGGCACATTGGATTATGGCGAGATTACGCCTTGTCACCACTGTCGGTGCTGTCAGTGCCGTATAACGTAGTTGTCGGTGACTTTTTTTTTAAGTGAAATAGTTGGAAAGCTCTAGAAAATAGAATAGTAGTCCGATTGAGGTGAAATAAAGTGCAAATGAAAGAGGAAAATAAGGAGAATAAGATAGAGTAAACATATGGACATGAGAAATATGTCGAATGTCGACGTACTCTTACAAGGTCTCTCTGGAGACTAGGTTGATCACGTAGGAATGCGTGAAAGAGGTCCGGAAAAAAGAGAGGAGGAGGGCCTGAGAGAGACGCTATCCACCTAGTGTTATAGTTGAGAGGTTGCCGCTGATAGAGCAGTTGTCGAATGGAGGCAAGTATGAGAGGACGCCACCGTTATGATATTTTCTCATTATAATATTTTTCCTTTATCTTATTCACCTTTTTCTCCTTTTTCTCCTCTTTATTTTGGTCTTTATTTCATCTCAATCGGCCTACTATTCTATTTTCTAGAGCCTTCTCTTTATTTCACTTATTTCCTATTTTTCCCACTGACATATTTATTGTACGGAATCGACAGCGCCAACAGTGGTGTATACGGTGAAATCTTGGCGTAATCCCAAGTGCCAATAGCCTTGCGTGCTTGTGCGCACTTGTGATTGTAGTATCGGGAAGGGCGTGTTCCCGAATGTTCGTTTTATCTATTTTATCCTTGTAATTTCCGAGTATAAAAACGCCTTGTATTCAATTTTAGTGACACGTTTCGATTGAGAATTCGATCCTGTGACAGCGAGGGAGGGAATGCCGTTAGTAAGAAGCTCCAGCCGCGCACTGAGACCCACACCTGTGTGAACTGGCTCAAGCAGTCACCTACCTTGCACGCAAGCAGCCATGACATTTTTAATGTTAAGCTGTGTGAACCTCGAGCAGGGTTCTGCCAATGAGGAGCGAAGGGGGGACTTGGAAGACACGAGCGGACGGAGGAGAGAAAGAGTGCTTCAAAAGCAAGGGAGTAATGGTCATGGGGATCGTGGACTGGAATAAACCATTCACCCGGAGAAACCTGGGGTTGGGGAGGATGACGGAGGACTTGTCACCACTCAGGGGAATATCCTGGAAGATGTCTTTGAGGATCCGACGGCCAGATGGGAAGATTGCGTGTGGGCAATGGACAAATAAATCCTCATTTGAAATAAAAGGGCAGCCATGAGGATCAGCGCGGACACGGTGACCCAGGCGGATCTCAAAAGAGAGGAGAAAGCGATCCCGTTTGCGAGTGCCAAATGGTATACCGTTTGGCCGCAGAATGAAGTGATTGAAGGCGATGGGTTCATGGAGGAGGCACCGAGGCTCGGGTTGTGGAGGGTGGATGGTGGGGTTAAGAGAAAGGAGTGCACTAACTTTGTCTCTAATGCAAAAGGGGAAGGATGACAAGAGGAATACGGGCTTCAAAATGGCCTGGTGCGCAAGAAAGGTACGAGATCCAGAGGGAAGAGGGACACATGAGCGTGCAACCCCCGATTGCGGTGAAGAGTTAAAGCGACAAAGAGCACGTTGGATTGAGAGAGCCTTAATATAAGCAGTTGGAGATATTGCCCCCATGTCTGATATGATCATAGAGAATTTGTTTGGGAACAAGTTGAAAAGCAAGTCCGTGTTCCTTGTATCGAGAGGAAGAAAGGAAGTTTTCGATGGCTTGATCTAGACGAATGTGAATGTCAGTTGGGACGGGCTAGAACCGGGCTGGAAAAGATATTACCGAGACAAGGAATGTCGTGCAGAGGGTTTTCCAGCATGTGGCAGTAGCGCGTACGGTGGACAGAAACTTGGCGGTGTGTTGAATACGAATAAGGGTAGAAGATTATGTGGTTTGTTCAGGAGTGCCAATCTCTATACAAACACCCAAGATGCGCTCAGCTTCATGAGGTCATCGAATTGGGATTAGGCCAGCAAGTATGATTTCGCTGGAGGGGATGTTAAACGGGATAATTGCAAATTTTCCCCAATTGGGGTACTCGCCCGAAACAGAGGCGAAA